CCAAGGCCCAAACACGCTCCAAACCCACCATGCTCATGTGGTCACTGGCACGTGCAACATGCACGCACAGCCCTCGCTCCTCTCTACACCACTGCCAGCACCCTCCCCTGCTGCATGAGAAGGGAGACAGCGTCCTGGGCAGCGGTGGCCATGAAGCTGTGGCTGCCCCAGGGAGCTGGGAAACCCTGCTCAGGGAGGAGGGGACAGTGCTGGCCAGGGCAGGCAGCCAGAAAGGATGCAAACCTGGGCTGGGATGTACCCTGGCTGCTTGGCTCCGTGCAGCCCTGGGACGAGAATACAGCCTAGTCTCTTTTATCTCACACATGGCCCAGCTGCCCCCACCATAGCAGTGGGCTCGGCCCTGCAGCTATTCTCAGTGGGCCAGCTTTCCCCAGGGCAAAAATCAGGAACCCTCTCCGGATGACAAAACCTAACCCAAACCAGGAGCCACAGAGTTCATTCCGACTCACAGGAGCCCACAGGTCAGAGCAGAACTGTCCCAAGGGCTCCCCAAGACTGTAAGTCTTTATGGAAGCAGACTGCCTCATCTTCCTCCTGTGAAGCTGCTAGTGGGTTTGAACCATTGACCTTTTGGTTAGCAGCCAAATGCCACCAGAGGTCCTTCTGGATAAGAAAATGCCTTTCTTTTTTGTAGGGTTGGCGGGCCCAACCGCTCCAGCTATGCAAAGCAGGTGTACCACGGCCTTAAGGGCCTGCATACCTGGGTGTGTCACCTCACAGCTGGCTACTAAGTACCTGTTGCCCAAGACCTCATCTACTGAGACAGGTTGTCCTTCACAGCTGTACACACTGGGCCTAGGAAAGACTAGTCTTCTCACAGCTTTGCAAATACAAACTGTCCCCTCACAGCCTTGAACACATGCTCAGCTTATTTTCCCTCATGGCTTTTACATATAAGCAGGCCTGTCCCCACACGGCCTTGTGCACACAGTCAGGCCTGTCCCCTTGCGGCCTTGTGTGCACAGTCGGGCCTGTCCCCACGTGGCCTTGTGCACACAGGCAAGCCTGTCCCCTCACGGCCTTGTGCACACAGGCAGGGCTGTCTTGGCAGAGCCTGGCCTCCCAGGGTCAGGACATGAGCAAACAGGTGCATCCCTGAGTCAGAAAAGAGGCCTCATTAACTCATACAAGTGTTTATGCTTCCACACCCCCAGGAATTGGCCTCAGGGGCCGAACCACTCAAACCAAACAGGGTCAGCCCCACCCCCTGGGAGTCCTTAAGACAGCTTGCTCTGCCCTAGTGGGCCCTAGGAGGGCTGAGGTGCCCAACGCTGAGCACCTAGAACAGCTGTACCCCACCACCCTTGCCAGATGCCCCTAACCCAACTTCTGCAGGGCTCCAGGCCTCCTCTGACCTCAGTGGGGCAGGGGAGCCAAGAGAAAGCAAAGAGCTGCCCAGAGAGGCAAGGAAGGGGCCCAGAGGCTGGAATACTGTGGGCAAATCTCACTCTCCTTCTTGGTGACCTTGGGACTTGGGCCAGCGCGTTATATTTTCTTAGTTCAAAAGTCCTTATCTGCACATGAGGATAATAACATACCCTATATCCAATCGGATGAGCTAATACACAGAACACATTTGCATGGTGCCTGGCCCTGAGCAATATTCCCCAAATGGGAGCAGGGCACATCCTGACATTCTGAGCTGCAGCCACGGAGATGCGGCACGGGCAGCGTGGACCGGAAATTAGGAAGAATACAGGTATTCTATTTATAGCCTTGGTCCATGGAATGATTTGCAGTACATTCTACAGCTGCACTTCTCAACCTTTTTTCATTATCGCTATCAACCAAAGGAGCTTTTTAAATGTTTACCTTCTGCTCTATGAAATTAAATATTACAGAATGAGATATCGTTGGGTACGGTGGAGCTTCGGAGGGCCACAAGCTATTGTGTTTTAGCCTTCTGAAAACCAATCTCCACCTTCTTGGGGGTGATACTGCCTCTGTTCAAGGTATGACCTAGAGGTGCTAGCACAGCTAGGTATAAATGAAAACAAGCAACCACACCCTGCTGACAAGGCAACATTCTTTACAGAAAGTATGTACCATGCACGTGCACTACTGCTACAATTATGGCAATGTATGTCCTGTAGAAAGCAAAATGACAATAACAACATTTAATAAATTCAAAAATTCAGCTCAGGTTGTGGGATTTTTAAATGTCCTTACTCTTGATGTGCTATTGATTTTTCTGTTGAAGATAAAAGATTTTTAAGAGAAGAAAGGAGAAAAGGCCCCAAATGGGTGGTTGTTGATAGAGAAGAAAAGAGAGGCAGCATCAGAGGATGCAGATGGTTAGCCCCTGACTGAGCAGAGGAGGCCAGAGCTCAGAGTAAGGACAGCCTGATCAAGCAGGAGGCAGGCCAGTCCCACAGACATGGATTCAAATTCACTCTACCATGATGGGCAAGTTGCTGGACACTCTGTGGGGCCTGGTTTCTTCATTTGTGAGATGACAATGAACAGGAAAGCACCCAGCTATGCCTCGCCATAGTAAGTACTAAATAACTGCATTTGAATTAAATGAACATTTGCTGAGAGTCTATCCAGACCCCAAGGCGAGGAAGCCACTGAATAGATTTGAACCCAGGTCTTCCAGCTCATTTTGTGAGCTAGTAGTACTTCCAAAATACTTCACATTTCTTTGTTATTGTAATAGGACAGGGAGCATGTTTCTTTGTCATCAGAACTGGAGTGGCATAGTGCCACAGGAATCTAACTGCACACACTGAGATATCACTGCCACCTGGTGGCAGCATACGTGAATCAATGGGGGGCAATTAAAGGTGAAAAAGTGCCAATGCTTCTAATGAGAGAACAAATGTCTCCATGCACGTTAGAGGCAGGAAAAGGGCCAGCAAACTGCCGGGCATTCGTCAGTTCCATGACACTCCTGAAGTGGGTTTCCTTGGATTTTTTTTTTTTTTTTTTTTAATCATTGATTAATTTAAGAACCACAAACAAGCCAAATGCCACCATCAGCACAGATATCCAGGCCTTCATAAGGACTGCTAAAAAGCCATGCTCCTCACTTGCGCACATGCTCGATCGTCAACCCCACCAGCAGTCTTTAACATCTGAGTGGGTACAGTTCAAGCGTGTAAATGTTAAATCATCTTTCTAGCCAAAGTCTCCCGAAATTTGAAATTCAGTGTCTACCACCTTAACCATCTCTGGTAGCCATTTCACAAGCAGTGCCTTGGACGTGTTCCGTAAATCACTGGTAAAGAAAATTTTGACCGGAACAAGGCAGAAAGCAAAGCTCTGTGGAGTACCACCAAAGACAGCCTTCTCATTGAGGGTGACCTTGGCTATCTTTGAAAATGCAGCATTTCCCCATCCTAGAGGGTAGGCAGTGCCCTGAAAAGGGGGGAAAAAAAACACTGAGGACTCACACTTGAAACATGTATTGAGAACACAGGAGGTGGAGACTAAGTGGTCATGGTTCCTAGCAGTGAAATGGCCCCTTCTTCTAGGTAGCTCCCCAGACTACCACTGTTACCGCTCCTCTCTCTTGACCACGCTGGCATGCAAGTCCCAGAGGGCCCAGAGCAGGTCCTGACGCATGATCTACCTTTCCTGGGACACATCTATGCCTGGGCACGCAGAGCGCCAGGCATCAGGGACACACCCCCTGATGTGTCCATGGAAACGAAACTCTCTGGAGGCAGCACCTGCGGTATTCATGAACAGACATGTGCCAGCTCATCTCCTTAGCTGCCGCTCAGGCCCTGCGTCCAGAAAGCCTCAGCTGCTGCGAAGGCTGAACAGCACCTGCCTCAGTGCCTTACTCACTGAGGGACCTTGGGCTCCAGTTTCAGCCTCACCTTTCCCACATGCACAATGGGAGCCATGATCATGACCAACCTTACAAGGCTGAAGCAAGGAGGAGATGGACATGATGAGCCCACGATAGTTCCCATATAGCAGGAGCTTAATGAACGCTAGTCCCTTTCCCTTCATGCCCCACTGTGGAGACTCACGCTCAGTTTCTGAGACTTGGCCCTGGAGGCACAAAGCAGGGGGACCAGCAGCTGTTAGGAGAGAGAAGTACCCTCTTCAGCTGGATTGGGATGTAACTTCCTGGGACCGCATTTCTGTCATGTGCTTGGCACCAGGGAGCGCCCCTCCTGAGGCATGAGCGGAACCCAGAATGTACCCTTGGCCATCCGGACACCACACCCAGCGTTAAACCCCACACACAGACAGCCGTTCACCCTTCATAGCCCTTGAGCTTACTGTAAAGATGACATATACCCGTCATTCCCGCCATCCTCTGCTGCTGCTGCAAGGCCACAGGCCTCACAGGGCTCGCTCAGATGACAAGGTGCGGTTAAGAGGCAGACTGCTCAAGCTCCACACCCCAGGCATCACGTCAAGGTTTCCAGCACCTCAACCACGGAGGAGAACACCTCGACTGCAGAGCAGAGCACACACGTCCTCAGATGGTAAGGAGACTGGCCCCGGGTCTTGCAAGCAGTCAACAGAAAGCTCACTTCCCTTTTTATGCTAGAAAGCTCCAAACCATCCCAGGTAGAGCCAGACCCAGGGAATGAGGCCAAAGAACCAGAGAACTCAGAGAGCACAGACCATGTAAATAGGGCTTGAGTTTTTAAACCTCAGGCAAATTTACATTTTGCCCACTCTTCAGAAGTGACTTCCAACCCAGCATCTTGAGGGCCAGAGGCCTGCCTCCTCTAGCCCCTAGGGTTCACCCTCATTATGAGAGCAAGCGGTTCTATGAGACTTTCAGAAGCAGGCACCAGAGCTGGAAGGCTCCTGAGCTGTTGGAGCCTTGAGGGTGGAAGACATCCACGCCTAGACACAGGAAGTGGGCAGAGGGCTGTGTGACATGGAGCAAGGTTGACCAGCTGAGCCGCTGGCCAGGCAGGCGTTAGTGGGCTTCCTGCCTGTGGCTGAGAGACCAGCTTCCGGCCAGCAGGCAGCTGCCGCTAACAAGCCACTGAGTCAAGACTTACCTTCCACTGCAGAGAATGGAACCACTGGTCTCGCAGGTAGCTGTTGGCGGCCTGCAACGACAAGAAAGAACAGCAAGGTCCGGTCACTGGTTTGGAGCACGTAAGAGCATTCCACAGGCCTGCGTGTAAGCCCAGCCTGCTCTGCCGGGCAGTGCCTGTCCTGCCAACCCCACCAGTCTTCTGCGGGATTTGCCGAGCTACACCCACTCAGTGCAAAGCCCACACAGAAGTAGTCCCCAGGGGGGCTTTCTGGAAAAAAGACAGCCCTGCCACGGGGGCTGACTCTGCTGGGTGTGAGTGACCAGGTGTTGCTGGCCTAAAGGACTTTAAACTGCATGCTTCTTGACTTGCTCAGGATCACTGGAGGGGCCAGGCTGAGGTGGGAAGCCCCGTCCACCAGCACACCCTGCCAGGCAGGAGGCACAGCTGTGAGGGTGACGGGAGCTGGTGGTGGCTGGGTGCCACCTCTGCACCAGGTGCAGCAGGGTCATTTCATCACTCCTCACAGCAGCCCTGCAAGATAGGAGCCCTATCACTGTGCCCATTCCACGAAGGGAAACAGAGGCTGAGACCTCGCATCAGCTAAGCAGACTCAAACTCCGGCAGCCTGCCTTCCAGGCCTACCAATTTAACCACTGCACTGCGTCTGCCAACAGAAAGCCTTGGTAGGAAGCACCCAGCCTTGAACTCAGGAAGACTGAGGTGACAAGTCCCAGCTGGGAGCAAGCCCTTCCTTGACCCACACCTCACTAGTTCTGAGCCCTCACTTCCCATCTGTGAAATGGGGGTAACAACTCCGATCTTACAGGGATGCTAGGAAGACCAGGAAGGATTCTTGTAAAGCATATGGAACTGTGCGTGGCACACGGCAAGCATTAAACAAAAGGCAGCTATTCACCATGGTCATTGTCACCTTCCCCATCAGTTCCCCTCAGAACAAGCTGCTGCCCCCTCCCCTCATCAGTCCCGGCAGACTGGCTCCTAACAACAGCAGGAGGGCTGTGCACGGGCCTGACGCTTCCAGGTCTTGAGGTAACCCTGTGACGTCAGGACCATCACCATCATCATACTTATGGTACAGACAGGAAACTGAGGCTCAGAGAGGTTAAATATGACTTCACAGGTAATAGGTGTAGGGCCAGGAATGGAGCCAGGTGGATCCACTCATGCTGGAAGCCAGAGTTACGGTATTCACTGTTTTCCACCTACCTTCCAACCAGCAAGGGCAGACACAGGCCCATGGTACCCCATCAGATCCCACAGCTCTCCGCTGCAAACCACCCTGTGCAGCTCTCTGGCAAAGGCCTGCCCCTCCGTCCAAGCATGTGTCCACCTTCTGCCCCAACGCAGACACACGTGCACATGCACATGAACACACATGAGCATACACAACTTTCGCTCACCCTCATTCAAAGAGACACTTAAAATGCCTTCCGGGTCAACAGATTGCAAGCCCCACCTACCAAATCATCTAAGAAACATCAGCCACTCCCCCGGTCAGAGTATTGAGACATCTCTGTGTTTGGAGGAATGAACCACTTCACTGGTAAGCGGTGAGCTCAGCAACTCGTTCCAAACCTGAGCAGATTCAGACCAGGCAGGCTGAGGGAAGCCCTCGCTTGGCACGGGGAAATTGACAATGGCTTAAGTCTCACACAGACCCAGGCTTAAGTTCCGGCTCCACCACGGTCGAGCAGTGGGACCTGGAGCAAGTCATTTAAGGACACAAAGCCTGGGCCACCTGAGTGAGGCCGTGAAGGCTGAAGAGGACCTCACCACAGAAGAAACAGCCCTGGGGAGTCTGCTGCTGTGCCGCCTCCTACCAACACGCACTTAGCTCTTTGGTCTCAGGACAATTCTTGCCCGTCAGGTGACAAGACATACCCCACGCTCAGGAAGAGAGACATCCCTGTAAAGTGCCTGTTCAGCACCGAGCCCAGCACGTGCAAAACGCTGTACAAACAGCAGCTGTCAGTACCAGCAGCAGCCACGGCCCGTGGGGCCAGAAAGAAAGCTGGACAGACCCTCCTGGAGAAAAGCCCAGTCTGTAGCCTCTGCTGATTTCCAGTCACTCGTGTGACATCCCCAAACCTGAGGTGGCAGGAGATGGGCATCACTAGCTCCTGTGAGCTGGTATAAACAAATCAAAACAAACAAACTCACTGCCATCGAGTTGAATCTGACTCACAGCAACCCCTCCTTGGGTTTCTGAGGCCGTATCTCTACAGAAGTAGATTGCCCAATCTTCCTTCCATGAGCTGGTACAACCAAAACCAAGAACCAAACACACTGCTGTTGAGTCGGATCCAACTCATAGCGACCCCTCCTTGGGTTTCCAAAGTGGTATCACTACGGAAGTGGATTGCCCAACCTTCCTTCCAAGGAGTGGCTGGTGGGTTTGAACCGCCAGCCTTCCGGTTAGCAGTCAAATGCCTCAGACACTACGCCACTAGAGCTCCTGAACTGGTATAAGGCCCCGCAAACCCCTGAGCATAATTCTACGCTTCTCACCACACCAGGGAGGACAGGGAGGTGGAGAGGGAGGCAGACACAGTAGCAACCCCCCAAAGATGTTCACATCCTAACCACCTGTGAATAGGGGACCTGGTGAAACGGGCTTTGTGGATGAGGTTAAGTTAAGACCCTTGAGATAGGCGAGTGACCTGGGTCATCCAGGGGGCCCTAAATATACTCACCAGGGTCCTTGTAGGAGAGAGACATGAGGGCCAGAGAGTCAGAGACACAGAGAGTCAGATGACACAGCCACAAGCCAAGGAATGTGGACGGCCTCTAGGGGTGGGAAATGGGTTCTCCCCTGGAGCCCCCAGAAAGGAATGCACCTGTCGCCACCTTGATGTCGGCCGGTGGGGCGGGGCCGGAATTCTGACCGCCAGCACTGCACGGTGATAAATGTTGTTGCCGCCAAGATGGCTCCAACCCATGGCGACTGAAGCCCACCCGGACCTGCACCATCCTCACAGTCTGCCCTGCTTGAGCCCACACTGCAGCCTCCGTGTCGGTCCATCGCAGGGAGGGTCCTCCTCGTTTTCGCTGGCCCTCCACTTCACCAAGCATGAAGCCCTTCTCCAGGGACTGATCTCTCCTGCTAACATGCCCGAAGTACGTGATACGAAGTCTCCCCATCCTTGCTTCCAAGGTGCATTCTGGCCGTACTTCTTCTGAAACGGATCTGTTCACTGCTTTTGCAGTCCATGGCATATTTAATATTCTTCTCCAACAGCATAATTCAAAGGGATCGATTCTCCTCCTGTCGTTCTTATTCACTGTCCAGCTTTCACGTGCACAGAATACACGAGCATTGTTTTAAGCCACAAGTTTGTGGTCATTACTCCAAGCAGAAAGAAGAAATGATACAGGAGGGGTGGCCCGATTGGTTTAGCACTGAAGACAGCAGTTCTAAAGGCTCTGAGGGTCTGCAGTGGCCCACACTGGCTGGGCCAAACAGCCTAGTAAAGACAACATGCAGGAAGGAAGAGAGGAGATGGGGAGAGAAGGAGCCCCCAGCCCAGGACCTGCCCCACCCCATTACATTACAATGAGGTGCCTGCGCAAGTCCACAAGGGAAGGGACCACGTTATGCCCTGCCCACCTCTGTGCCCCAAAGCCTGGGTCAGCATGGGCTCCATGAAGGAAGGAAGGAAGGAGTGGGTTATGAGCACCTGAAGGAGGAGGGCCTTATTTCTAAATCCACAGCATTGATTAGCAGTGTCTGCTACACAGTTGGAATCCTTTGGTTGTTGATTAGCAGTGTCTGCTACACAGTTGGAGGCCCTCGGTGGTTGATTAGCAGTGTCTGCTACGCAGTTGGAGGACCTGTGAATGGTTAACACGCTGGGCTGCTAACTAAAAGGTTCGAGCTTCAAGTCCATCCATAGGTGTTTCAGAAGAAAGGCCTGGAGATCTGTTTCTCAATCAGCCATCAAAAAGCAACCCTACGGAGCACAGTTCTACTCTAATACATGTGAGGTCGCTGTGAGTCAGAATCGACTCCGTGGCCACTGGTCGGCACACACTCAGGGTTGGGCACGTGAGTGCAAGAACGAACGGACAGGCAGACAAAGGAAGCCACAGGAAAGCAACGTGCTGCTCGAACCTGGTAGATGGGAACTAGCAGGAGACTCCTTCCCCGTAGTCCAGCCCCACTCAGACGCCTCTGTGTCTGATGACTGAACCAGCCCTTCCCATTCTGGGGGCCTCCCTACTTTGGGCTGCTGGGCCACATCCCCCAGCTGCCCCACTCGAGTCCATTTTCTAAGCCTGGTTCCCAGGCTCCCCTCCAGTCTTCCAGCACATTCTCTTCCTCCTTGAGCCGGTGCATGTCGGCTGCTGCCTCCCAGAGCCTGAAGGAGCAGAGCTGCAGGGCCTTGCTGGCCCCGTGTTATCCCTCTTCTTCCTTCTGGAAAGCAGAGGCTCAATGCATTCTCCTCACAGGAGTGCTCAGCAATGGCATCGCCACTGACCCTGGATGTCGATAAATTCAGAAGTGCGTGTCTTTCCTCATAAGGGAGTGTGTGAGCCCTCCCCCCGACACACCCACATCTAGTCCTCTGTCCATTTTGTTTGCCTCGAGATCCACTCAACTCTAGGAGGTCAGCGGGGCATTCCGGAAAGAATGTGGGTGTGGGTCCAACACAGCAGCCTCACCAAGGTGATGCAGGGCTGACTGACCGTGCAGGCCAAGAGCAACCGCAGCCTGTGACCCTTCCTGGGTGTGAGCGCTGAGCAAAAAGCTCTACATAGGTCTCCTTTGATGGCACTTCCACCACTCGCAGTTTACAGACAGGCAAATGAGACTCAGAGCAGGCAAAGGGCCCCACTGCACACCCAGCAGCCCCTTGTCTGACAGGTGACCTCCCACTCCTAGGACCGGTTTGCTTTTCACCTGCTTCCCTGACCCTTCTCATTCCCGCTACTTCTTAGGGCCTATATCCCATTGCTCCATGGTTGGTCCCTCCCACAGACTGGGAAGGGAGGGACGAGTCACACAGGATGTATCGCTGCTGCCTGGTGAGCCTGGCGCTGAATGAATT